CATCATATTTGGAACATTCTCTAAAAGTTAAGAAATTACATGATATAATTTATACATACAACGATTTATTACTTATATTAGGTAAACTTGCCTTTAAATAATGAACGTTGAGCACTAACAAATATTGTTGGAATAGCTCCTGGTTTTAGCATAAGATTGCCAAAAGTACTTTTAGTAAACTGTTGTTCTTCAAAATGTTTACTACATATGCGATGACTTTTCTTTACCTCAAATTTGTAGTCTTTTTGTAATGCTGTTACCCATTTTTCACATAACACATCGTCTTTTGGAAAACTATTAATTTAAATGTAAAAATGAATTAAACATTGTCAATAACATAATATGTTATATTAATATATTATATTATATAATAATATATTATATTTAAGAATGAAATAACTTACCTATGAAGTCGAATACTAGAAGAGTTTGCCTCAGAATTACATGAATCGACACAACATTTAAGACCCATTATAACTTAAAGTCAATATAATATTATTTTGGTTAAAAACTTTAAATTTACAACTGGAATATTTAGTTGTTACTTGTCACAAATCGCAATAATATTTTAAAAAGGAATTGTCAACATACCAGCAACTGTTATCACTGTTATCAGTTATCATTACTACCAAGGAGTATTATAAAATTGTTTATAATCTCCTAGAAAAAGTAATGTCAGAGTCTGTCTCTTTCGCACATATGTTGGCTTAAATATATTTCACTAATGCGCGGTCTATATATTATAAGTCTATGACTAGTACAGTCAGATGGAAAAACGCTATTACGGTTCAAGGTTTATAGATAATAGAGGTTGCCTCATAGTCACGTAAACAAAGCATTCCCCCCGCAGCGTCTTATTAAGCATGACGTCATCCGTAGGAGAGTTTCGCGGGCGGCTGTGGTGTCGTATGTACACACAATGCTTAATATTCATAATTACTCCTATACTTGTGTGCTAATTAATGTGAATTTGTGTTTTACATGTGTTTATTACTATGTTATTACTTATTAGTGTACCTACCTATAATATTTTAATCATATATTAAAATACTTTCTGTTTAAGATAGTTGAAACCTATAGTATTATGTATGTATTCCAAGCATACTATTCATAATAATATACTCAATACAATTTACAAATAAAGTGCTGACTTATTATAAACAATTGTAAATTTTAATTATTACTTATATTACTAAATGTGTAAAACTTTAAACCCAATATTAAAATATAATAATTTAAATACTTTAAATTTATTGTACATCAATCCTCATATCAATGTAAAGTAATTTTTAAAGTTTTCAGTTTTCTCATTAATAAGAAATATTATATTCCATATCATAATCAATAATATTTTAATTTATTAGTAATTTATTTTAATATATTATAATAAACAATTATACAGATACAACATATTTTATATAATATATATTATATATATATATAACATATTTTATATATATGTTTGGCTAATATATATATTTCAGTCTCAATTCAAGTCATTAATTTTCTTAATTTATTTATTCTGCTTAGTTGAGCTTTTGCTTTTATTTTTTTAGCTAATGGTACTGCATGTTGGTTGAAATATTTCATTCGGATCAACAATCTTTGTTATACATAAGACTGAATTACAGGTTTATATTTTTGTTCAATTTCAGTTCTTATGAAAATCCTATCTGTTAGCTTTTTAACTACTCCTGATCCTTTAGGGATAAGTTGCTTTGTCATTTTTTTAAATAACCTTTCAACTCTAAAAATGTTAACTTTAAAGTTTTTACTGGGAGTTATTAATCCTCCATAAGAAAGATGACTAATCCAAGATGGCATTAAATAATCATGGTCATTTGTAGCTCTTGATTTTTTTGACGCTGTTATAGAACCAATTTCGGGAAATTTAAGCTTGTGTTTTTTAGCAACCCAACCTGCTAAGTATTCTACAGCATCATTTGTCATTTCACTGTTGTTTCTTGATTCTTTAACTTGTGACTCATTTTCACTGGCCGTATCTGTTTCAGAATCGTTGGACATAGTTTCTTGATGTTCAGGTATTTCAAATTCACCTTTAATATTGAAATCGACCTGTTTAAAAGCTGCTGCAACTAAAAACTCCTCTTGATTTTGATCAGTTGTGTTGGACGAACTTGAAACTATACCAGGGTTTTTTCCAAGAATAATCATTCTTAACCTATGGAGTGCATTTAGAGGTGATGGGTCATTTAAGCCACTACGTGACCGTAACTGAGAGAACAAATTCTCTAGGGCGTCTTGATTTATTTTACTGGTCAATAAATATTTTAAGTTGTTTTCCATCAAAATTTGAAGGAATAATTTAGTACCATTTATATTCATAATTAAAGCTTTTTGAAATAATTGTAAGTTTTGTTTTCCAATACATCTCATATTTAAAACTGTTTCATACACTTCATTTAATAATGCATCTTGCTCTTCAAGACATAATCCATAAGGTGCTGTGTAAGGGGTTCGCTTGTCATTTGAGTGACACACATTTTCCTAGTCAAACCAATTATTTATTAGTTCTATAAAGTGAGCAGTATCATTATTTAATTTTGTGTCATTAATAGGTTTATAATCAGTGTTGGCGTGAACTATTTTATTTCATGAGGAGAATATAGAAGCTAGAGGTTAACCACCACCACCACCTAAATTTCATTACACAGACCCTAGGGGCCTATGCCCATACACCCCCAATTTACAATTCTGCAACAATAATATACTTTGTCGTGGTGGCTCTGAATTAAAGTTTTAAGTAAAAATTACTTATATTTATGTTCCTCATACCTCATATAAATTATTATGATAACCATCATTATTTTGCTAAGCATGAATCTAAGGAAACAATTACTGGACTAATAACTCAAATAACGAGCCAAATGAACATATGACTAATAATCAAAAAAATATTTTTGTTTTGTTAACTATGTTGTACAACTATATTTATTTGAAAATTAAATTATCTTTTAATAAATCAGAGGATAAATTGATTAATGGCTGCATTATAGTCAATTGGTATATTTTTTTCACAACTTAATATCATGAGGCTCTCTAATCTGTGTTGTTCTGTTGTTGAACGTAATCTTGTTTTGATTAGTTTTACCTTTGAACAAAAAAAAAAAAAAATTAGGATCAATTATAAAATATATAGTTAATAGAAAGAAAAATAATTAAATTTCTATTACTTTGGAAAATGCTCGTTCTGCAGATGCAGAAGCTGCTGGAATGGTAAGCAGTGCCTTATAGGCTATGTATAAGTTTGGGAATGCATGTCTAATTCCAAAATTTGATATAACTTGAAACAATTGATCAGTTGTTAATGTTTCTTTAGAATTGATACAATCATTTTCACTTAAGCTTGATTCTGTATCAGTACTGTTACAACTTTCATTGTCCAATGGGTTGTTTTCAATCTGATGTAGTTTATTGGGCACAAGTCCATCTAATAAACCTTGTAATGATTTAGTAAACATATAATATTCTGTTCCTAAATTACTAGGATCTATACTTGGTAGCCACTTCCCTATATCTTCAAAAGCGTCTTCTGGTAATTCAGGACCATTATTTGAATAAAATAAAATTCGTTGCGGTGATAATAAACTTAGGTCCATAGTGGGACCAAGTGGTCTATATATTATAAGTCTATGACTAGTACAGTCAGATGGAAAAACGCTATTACGGTTCAAGGTTTATAGATAATAGAGGTTGCCTCATAGTCACGTAAACAAAGCATTCCCCCCGCAGCGTCTTATTAAGCATGACGTCATCCGTAGGAGAGTTTCGCGGGCGGCTGTGGTGTCGTATGTACACACAATGCTTAATATTCATAATTACTCCTATACTTGTGTGCTAATTAATGTGAATTTGTGTTTTACATGTGTTTATTACTATGTTATTACTTATTAGTGTACCTACCTATAATATTTTAATCATATATTAAAATACTTTCATTGTCCAATGGGTTGTTTTCAATCTGATGTAGTTTATTGGGCACAAGTCCATCTAATAAACCTTGTAATGATTTAGTAAACATATAATATTCTGTTCCTAAATTACTAGGATCTATACTTGGTAGCCACTTCCCTATATCTTCAAAAGCGTCTTCTGGTAATTCAGGACCATTATTTGAATAAAATAAAATTCGTTGCGGTGATAATAAACTTAGGTCCTTTAGAATTTCTTTGGCTTCACAAAATCTAGTGGATATGGCGTTTATTATTGTGTCCAAAACTACAAAGTACACAGTGGTTTTGTAACGTTCACTTGCTAGCATTACTGTTTCATCCATTGCTATTTCTCCTGCCATCTGTTTTTTTTACGTCTATGTCTGATTTCTCTAAAGTCAACTTCTGCTAGATTCTGATTAGATGAAAAAGTTTTGGCTGCGTTCACTAGGCTCATAAATCCTTCATCACTTCTCATATATTGTAAACTTTTCTGTGCTTCGTCTATAAGTACTAGAGCTTGGATAAAATCTAAATTTTTTGATTGAAGGCATTTTGATAAAGGTGTGGTTATAGAAAAAATGGATTTCATTAATTCCATTGATATTATAAACTTAAACGAACTAATAGTGTTAGCTAAACTCTTTGCTTTTGATACAGTGTCACGATCTAAATCATCAGTAGTAGATAAATAATTTAAATTTAATGTTTTTAGTAATGCTTAATATTTTTCATAAACTACATCAATAGCTCTCCCATGAGATGTCCATCTGGTAGTAGAAAAATGCTTAAGACGCCGAATTCGATCTTTTGGAAAACATTCTTTTTGATAATGAATACATTTTGCTGTTCTTTTGCGAGCTCGCATAAATTCGTTTATTGCTTGAATATCTCCTAAAAATACTTTTGTTTCTACAGAACAGTCACACGTGTCAACAACCACTAAATTAATTACATGAGCAAAACACCAGATATAAACAGCTCTGGGGTTTTCTTTCTGTATGTGTGTTCTTAAACCTGAATAAATACCTTGCATGCATGATGCTCCGTCATAAGCTTGTGCACAGAGCTGTGTTTTCCAATCAATATTATGAGTTTCTGTTATTTTGGAAAACAGTTGAAACATCCCAAGTCCAGATGAGTCTGGAGCAGTTTCTAGAGATACTTATCGCTCTTGGACTTTATTATATTCATCAACATAACGGATCACAAGACAAAATTGTTCTAGCTTAGCAATATCAGTTGTTGTATCAATGATAACGGAAAATAATCCAGATTTTTGTACTTGCTTTAAAATAAACGATCTAACTATATCAGCTAATATTTTTAAAAGTTTATTTTGTGAATCGTGTGACAATAGAGTTAGCCTATTTTTTTTTTTATTTCCAATCTTATTCAATTGATTTTGAAGGATTGGATGATATTTAGCCAATAATTGAAGAAGTTCCAAAAAATTACCTTTATTCATTGAAGAACAAGATTCATTGTTCCCTCTTAAAGATATATTTTGTCGAGCAATATAAACAAGCACATCAATTACAACTTTTAATATCTCTCGGTTGTCTGCTATTTTTTGGTTGGCTGAGTGGACTATTTCAACATCAATCCTATAATTACTTGCAAACGAAGTACGACTGATTTCTGCTTGCAAGTGATGCATGCATGTTTCATGAGCTTCAATATTTCTTTTTAATTTTTAAAATCATTTGAACCTGAAGAAGCCATTATCATATTTTTTGCTTTCGGCAATCCAAAAATTTTACAAGAAATGCAGAAAATACGGTTCAAATTTGGTGAGTACGATAACCAGGAGCGTCTTGAACATGTTCCATCTGGCAATGTTTTGGTATAATAACTTTCATGGAATCCCAGATAGCAAAAATTTTATGATAATAATACTAAATTATTATTAATTCATTACATTTAAAATAATATAATTTTAATAATATAGTACTATTTTATTAATGTTACATTGCTTATATTATTTGAGTAATGAGAAAAAAATCATATTATATTATTATTATTTAATTATGAAATTATTATTATTAAAAAAACAATATAGTATCGTTTTATTTTCAATACGCTTATAATATTATTTTAAAAGTAACAAGAAAATCATACTATATTATTATTATTTCATTAGTAACGTATGATTATTTATAAAACAATATAGTATCGTCTTATTTACAATACACTTATAATCTTATTTTAAAAGAACCTGGAAAATAATATAATATTATTATTTCGTTATGAAAATAATAATATCATTAACATAATATAAAATATATATACATAATATTATATATTTATCAGTGCCATCCCGATGGGCGATGGCAAGCAAACGGGGCACTAGCCCAGGGCCTCACGCAGTCACGCCTCGCAGTGCCTCGCGGATATTCAATAATATAATAATATATCGTCTAAATAAAAATATTTCCAATTAAACATCTTAGCAACGACTTATTAGAATTTAATATGTTTCAGATAATATATCAATGTTTGCAAAGTAAAAAAAAACGTTTTTACAACAAGCTGACTGTTCTTATAGAGTAACATAATATTACAAACAACATTATGAAATATTTTGAATAGCTATAATCAGTACTGATATTATTAAAATACTGTAATAGTAATATATAGTATATGGCATATGTTAGATTATAATATGTTTATTTTCGTATTAAGATTTTATTATTATTATTTATTACCAATGTCTACCCGCCACCGACGCTCATCGAAAGTCATGTGAATATTGACTATATTTGTGTTTACTGTCGTAACTCGTAAACAATGACTGCATACGGCTGCATGATGATGAATGTATGATAAGTGATAACTAATAATATATAATATCAATTATATTATTAATAATATTATTAGATAACTCCCAAGTTCGTTATTCGTTTTTTCTCGAACATATTTTATTACACGTATAGTGAGTTTCAAACGTGCAGCTGCCGCTGCGATTATTACTGCAAAGAATTGTATTATAATATGAGCGGTGGTACTCGACTCGAGCTCAACTCGACATATACAAACCTATACAAATATATTGAAAACCGCTATTCTATATAATGCAGTGTTTCTCAACCTTTTTGACCACCTAGATGGCTTTTAAGTAGGACTACAGACCACCAAATTTAGAAATCTGATTACAATATACAAGGTTTAACGTTTAAACACTATACTGGAAATATATTTTTTTATAATATAACAAGGACCGGTAACTTTTTTTTATCGCGGACCGGCGGTTGAAAACCACTGCAATAGTGTATACCTACCTATGGATTTCGATATAATATATTGTCCAGGGACCTTTGAATTCTAATGATGCCCAGGGCCTCACAAAACCTGAGAACAGAACTATTATTAGTATATTAATACATCGCAATTGCCAATACCCTAAAAGCAGCGGTACGTGAGTAGTGAGTAGGCCGCCAACTATTATGTACGAAATGTATTGTTGTTTGGCCCGCACTAAAATTAAATAATACATACTATAGGTATATTAAAAATCTAAAGTGAGATAATAAAGTTACAAACTGTTATGTGTGGTCAATTTATAGTCATATAATGTACAATATCATCTGTTAAAAATGTCATATAATAATAGAAAATATAGCTTATAATATTTAAAATGTATGTAGTCCACGGATTGTCCTCAAATGGTTTTCAAAATTAATATTTGGCATTTTGGCCCTTTATACAATCGTAGCGAGGACTTTTAGGGAGCTCTAAAACACTAAAATCAAGTTTGCTTAAATTTAAAGTACTTAAATCCTAATAAACATCTTTTAGGTTTCACAGTTTCAGTTATAATAATAAATTATAATTATTTAATATTTGAATTATAAGATTTAAAATATATAATAGCATTTTAAAATATATCTATACTTGGACAGTTGGACGTCATACAGACATAGAGTCTTATATAATATAGTACTCAATTAAATATTATTTGTATTGTTGCAATTTAAAATCACGTTCATACACCTACTCAAACATTATTTTATATTGGGTAATAACTATAATAGCAAGGTAACATCAAATTTGATTACCTAATTAATTTTTTTTGCTGTGCTTATAATATAATATATTAGTTTTACAATTTAATTTTTCATATTAAATTATAATAAATATTATATAGTATACTGGTCGAGGGTTTTATTATACTAGGATTACTATTTACTATAATAATATTATGTAGAGACGGTAGATGTAAGCACTTTTAAAATGTATCTATGATACTATATATTAAGTGGTTCTTAATTTCTTATACTTCAGTTTTTAGTGTTCTTACTATCATTACTCTTATATACCTAATTCGTATTTCGTTTATATTATGGTAAACAATAAGTTAAGCATATACATAGCCACACAATATTTGTTATTATATTATTATAACTATTATAATATGATATTATATTGTACCTATATGTATATATTTATTGTTATTCAATATAAAATAGTATGATTAATATATTATTCATTCATTTTTAATATATAATATTATTTTCAAACAGCTAGCTACATCCCAGACGGCAGTGCTAGGTAGGTACTTATTATAGGTAATTTAAGTAATTATTATCGGTAAATCAATTATTATTCCAGAATTCTGTAAATTGTTAATCAAATGTTATTATTTTTAAATTTTTTTTAAACGTAGATACTAAACGCGATGTGTGATTTTTGGAATAATTTTCACCCGTCGTCGTTAATATTGTAGGAGTCAAATTGCGTAAGAAATAATATTATTTATTGTAAAAATAACTGGATAATTTATATATCATTGTTGGCACTGCCCGCATTGCCATCAGTAATCATGATAATGGATTATTGTCGCAATAATAATAATATGACGTTATACTATTATGTCTTGTTGTACTCCACCACCATCTACCACAACGACAGTGTTATCTTTTATTATCATATCAGCGAAATACAATAACTATTAACTGCCACACATTCAAAATTTCCCATGACGTCATGACGATCACGATATTTATATTTCGATATTGCAGGCTTTCGAGTGCCGAGTTGCGACTTGCGAGTGGTAATTTTATTGCGAGCGTGTTTCAGTGTTTGACATCGTGACCATCGTGGACCTGTGTACAAACTTTTATTTTTATTTTTATATAATCTTCCGAAAGTTCGTATTCGCGAGTATCGCGTATGTATTCTTTATATAAACCTAACTAAGCCTTTAATACCGTAAAAACGTACCGATCGACGTACCTACTTCAATACATATTAGGTAAGTGGAATACTGGTTTTGTAATTTGTAGTATGACACTATGTAATAATAATTTTTAATGTTAATTGTATTTTCTTAGTCTTGCATGAATTAAATAGTTAAATAGTTGTAAGGAGAGCCGCGTGTGTGGCTCCGTCTTACAAACGTACAACATAACGTATTCATAGTGTTGTGTAGTTTCAATCTTTTTGTACAGGTACTTATGGTTAATTTTAATATTAGTCAATTGACCTATTATTATCATCTATAAAGGTTAAAGCTAAATTAGATGATCAGTTTTTTCTCACGGGTTCATATTTATTATGATATTTTAATTATTAGCCGATTTTTCTTACCTTATATATAGAGAGTATAATAGGTTAATCACTCTAATATTAAAGCTAACTACACAACATTAAAACTGCTAAGTGCTGAACATAAATTTGTTGTGTTGTACTTTTATAAGATAAATAATCGGTTTGTAATGCAACTTCTCACCCACACTCCTCAGGCTGGTAGACCAGCAAAAGTTTGAATAATGATTTAGTAGAATAGTGAAATGACATATGTTTTAATCTAGTATTATTTGATATAAAAACAACAAGTTTTATATAGTTTTTTTATGTTTAGTATTTAAATATTAATTAATTTTTTTTCTTATACCTTCCTGTGAAATATATTTGTAGGATTGTTGTTAATTTACATAATAAATTGTCAAATTATATTTATTTACAATTGCAAAGAAGCTTCTAAGTTAGTTTATACTTAATTTTACCACAAGGTATTGGTATGTAGTTATGTTTTCTTTTTTTAAATTAAAATCTAAACGAAGTTACATATTTTAAATTTTAAGGATGTGGAGTGTTGTTCTTTTTGAAAAGGACAATACAGTTGAGGCTGTCCCATCAAACTGGTTCAAAGATGGGTTATGTGCGTGGCCTAAGAAAGATGAAAGAATAAAAATAACCCGTAGGATTCAGCCGAACAAGTTTGATTTTGTCTTCTATTCTGCCAGACTCTTGAAAAAAAACTTTGGTGAATACACATATAAATACATATTTATATTTAATCAATTCTATATTCATTAGATCCACAACAAATAATAATCAACTGATTTTATTTATAATAATATGTATGTTTGAATAGCTACCTACCCATATGTTTATATTAAATATTTTACTATAGGTAATCTGCAAGAAGCCAGATCAAAGTTAAACAGAGCGCAAGTAAGGTCTGATTTGTCGTCGTCAGCTGAAGATAATTTACATGTACTCAGGAAAAAAAAAAGAAAAAAATCACCTGTTAGAGATCCTCCAACATTTAGGCCAGCTAAGAATATTGAAGGTACATATTATAATAACTTTTATTTCTAAGAAATTATACTAACACAACTTATAATAGACTGCAGTTCATTCAAATATGGAATA